GTTAACGCCTGCCAAACGTGATGCCAAAGAAGCCGAGAGTTAGCCAAAACTCCAGAACAATGCTACCGAGAAAAACTCCCTCGTAATTAACGATTCCAACACCGGTCGGCAGTAAAAACAACTCTAGGAGTGTGTTTGTTTTTTTTGTTTGTTTTTTTTCTCACACCTCACGTTGTTTTGACTTCAGTGAATTCTATGCATTTGTATGTGATGTAAACTGTTGACAAATACTGTGTAGTACATTTAAATACAGTCTTTTGCTCTTTCCACCTCTCTCTCTCTCTCTCTCTCTCTCACACACACACACAGACTCACAGCTGGCTTGTTTTTCTAAGGGGTGTTTATGTAAAGGAAGTTGGATCCTCAAACTCACTGCATACTTCACATTTATGAAGGCTGGAAACGGCCGGACTGCTGATATGATTACAGCGAGGAGCGAGCAGGAAAAAGCCCTGAAATTCTCATCTGGAAGCCATTATCCTTTCTCCACATCACTTTCTTTCTCTATTTATCTCTTCTTCATCCCCCGGACAGGCTCCCCTCTCCTCCTCCCATTCTCTTGGTTTGGTTTTCTTTCTTTTCACTTTGTCTCCGTCGTTTTTCTCACCCGCTGTTTGTGTTATGAGTGTTTGCAGGCATTTTTTTTTTACGACCGCTGTGACTTTTGTTAATGTTGACACAGGCATCACACAGTAGGTACACACACACACACACATATATACACATACATATGTGCACACACACACACACACATGTAGATCAGTGAAAGGGTTTGATTAACAGCCGTTGGCCTGACTCTCTCTGGATCAGCCACAGTGTGAGGCATTAAAAACCAATAATTCACTGTTAACACAACACATCCAACACAGTGTGTGTGAGTGAGAGAGAGAGAGAGAGAGAGTGTGTGTGTGTGTGTGTGAATTTAACCACCTCCACCCATCATTCCACTCCCATATGACATCAGAAGAGTGAGAGCATGACTGACAGAAGAGGACAAGAGAGGGATTAAACCCCTCACCCTGAGTGTGTGTGTGTGTGTGGAGAGAGAGAGAGAGAGAGAGAGAGAGTGACAGAAAGTGTGAGCTCTCACGCCCTGAATGCTGTAATGAGACAATCATCTGTGGCTGAAGAGCGTTACTGTAGACAGAAGACATACACGTAAACTGTTGCAAATGCACACACACACACACACACACACAGAAAACAGAAACAGCGAGATCCACCCCGCTTCACTGCAGCTCGGTTTCCAAACATTGCATCAAATTCCCAGAAATATGACAACAGAAACCTGAGCTGCAGAGAAACTCGGTCCCTGACCCCTGAGTCCAGGCTGAAGTCGTCTGAAAGTTTCAGACCTGCTTTTCTCCTCTGTCACAGTTACTGACGACGTTCCTTCAAACTGACTTTCATTACTTCTCTAGGTGTTCTTGTTTGTCATGCTACACTTATATATTTACGTATATATGTGTCAATATGTATTTGCATATATGTATATGTGTATATATAATCCATATACATACACATGTATACATACATATTTATATATGTATACATACATATATAAATATATATGTATACACGTAAATATATATGTATATTTTATATAAAGTATTTTATATAATTAATATATAATATTATATATGTATATACCCATACATTTCTTACCATGTAAATATATTTATATATATATATTTATATGTGGATACATACATATATATTTATATATGTATATACATAAATATATATATATATATGTATATGTTAAGATACATCTATCCATACATGTATATTTTATAGTAGTATTTTAACATAGTGTATATACACGTATACATTTGTTACCATGTATGTATACATACATATATATATACATAAATATATATATATGTATGTGTTAAGATACATCTATCCATACATGTATATTTTATA